AAGGTTGCGTACAGCTCAAAGTCGACAGAAATCATATTCAGATAACCGACGTCGAGACTTGAATTTGCTGTGGGAGACTGGGTATTCTTGAAAGTGTCGCCTATGAAGGGTGTAATGAGATAAGGTAAGAAAGGAAACCTCAGCCCTAGATATGTTGGGCCATATCAGATTGTTCAGAGAATTGGGCGATTAGCCTACAAACTTGACCTGCCACCAGAATTAGAAGCAATCCATCCGGTATTTCACATTTCCATNGCCCTATCGGCCTTCTGGATAGCTGTTATACTGTTGTTGCAGCCTTGTTGGCCTAGTTTATATATATATGTCGTGTTGGGCTCTTCTGCCTGCAGGTTATTATATTTCAGATCGTATCTCATGGTTGGTTCGCTCGGGCCTTCGGGCATCGGGTGCCAGCCACACCTCCCAAGGTTGGGGTGTGACATCTTTATTCGCGGAAAGCTTTAGTAACAATGTGAGCTTGAGAAATGTACAAAAAACAAATGGTTTTAGCAGGTGAGCAGAACATGTAATACAACAGCTAGAGGAAATCTATTGATAGGCATTGACCAATTGGAAAGTGATATACTTCTCTATATATATGCAAAGAAGAATGCCATAGAGGACAGAAGTGTCACTAATAACTTAAGCAACGAGATCTTCCATTGGCAAACAGCATTTGGCAAATGCGGATCTGCATCAGGAGGTGGCATGACAGAAACATCATTCGACAAATGTGGATATGCATCAGAAGGTGGCATGACACAGTTATCACCATTGAAATAAACTCTATTAGGAAAAGCCCACCCCTTATCAAAAGTGAAATTTGATGTATCTTTTCGGAGTAGAAGTTCGAACTGGACATTTCCTAATGGACCAGGTTGCATGAGCAGATCATTGTCGGATTTAACACCCCATAACATAGCAGTATCATCTGCGAAAAGGTCCAGGAGATTAGTCATATATGTAAGGAAACTTAGTAGTAATATCTTCAATAGAGTAATATTTCCAACCAATATAAGAATGGACTGCGATTCTAGACAATGTTTTCAAAGGCAAAAAGAGCACAGGTTTGTTAGGGCTTTAGGCTCAAATCGCAAACAAGGCGCGAGCTTTAGTGGTAAAAAAGGCGCACATAAAGGAAGAAATACATACAAAGTTCAAAAATGATATTTATATGCACAAATGACAATTATATGGACAAAGGAATTTAACAAATTTATAATTAAGTGAAATATTTATTGTTTAGTATCGTCTCTTCGGGACAATGCACATTGGTGATGAGACATCCGCCTTAGCGCCTTGTTGACTGCAATGAAGCGCTGCCTAAACGAGGCAAAGTGCTTAGCCAAAAGTGAGCCTTTGGTAAAAGTAATTCAAGATTAAAGCATGGAACATGTATAGTAGTTATCCATTTAACATCTAAGTAGATAATATAACATTTATAATTAGATGGAGAACTTACTTATCACTCCATAAGGAGTTAATGACTTGTAATTGATGCTGAAAAGCTGAGTGATGTTATCAAGGTTCGGATGTTGGGCAATTAAGTTCCATTGTGTATAATTCATATGGTAATTGAAGTTTGTTATAGTGATTTTAACCCTCCAATAATCCTTGTAGTTGAGCTTCACATGCCAATGAATTCCAACTGGGCACATATGATCTGTGCACTGGACCAAAGGAGTAAAGTTTTTCTTTCCATGGTCCGAAACAATTGAAGATAGGTGCGGCATTTCTGGACTGCAAGAAAACAAAGGTGAAGTACCCTAACAGTAAATAACAAAAGAATTCAGAGATTTAGCCCGTGAGAGAAAGAAATTGAAGAAAATATTTTGTTAGACATACTTCACACAAGTTCCCGGCTTAGTACTATTATTCTGGCATCCACAAGCACATGTAGGGCAAGGTACAATCGTGTCATTGTAGAACGACGATAGGGAGACGCAACATTTAGGATTTTTCTCAGCCAGGAACTGTGAGTATGTGCATGTGACATTCCAAGTCACTGTCATTAACAGTACAGAGTGTTAGAAGTTAGCCTTTATTGTAAAACTGCAACTAAGCATGATAATAAAGTTGAAGCAATTAACTTACTCATAGCCTGTGTCACTCTTCTCCCATCTGGAGTGATAAATTTAGTCGGTTTAACAATTTTAGCAGGTCCACAAGTATAACCAGGCCCTGGCGCTTGTAACGTGAAGTTCTTAGGTACTCTAACTGTTTTGTTGTTTGTTCCGGCAGAACCAACAGTGAGTTGGAATGAAGTAAAAGCAGTTGCAGGATCTTGCCCCCATGAGTTGAGCATTCCTCCCTTGCAGCAATTTGCAATCTGCTGTTTATGAGGAGTTTCCGGCAGCAAGTCAACAACTGTTGGATTTTTCTTGCAGCAATGAGGAATATCTCCTTTGAATTTTGAGCAATTACCTTGCTCTGTAGTCCGACTTCCGATCATGTTCCATATTACCTCATCCTTAGCCCATGTCCATCTCAAAGTCCAGCCTGGGGGTTGAATATGCCTATATTGCTGGAAGTTGTACATAGTCACCACAGCCTGTACAAATGCTACACAACTAAGATGACACTTTCCATTCCACAAATGTTAATAAGGAGAAGTAAAAGCTACAAGTTAATGCACTATAAGATAAACTGAACATAAGACTGAGGTCCAAAGGCTGCACTATTAGATGTCTTTCTTAACGGACGTGCAAAAACCTTAAAAGACAGATAATATGGACAAGCAATAACTAATGCTTGAAAGAACTAATAACGAAAAATCCATTCTTAATCAAACTTGCAATGCACATAGCAATAGATCAAATTTATTCTTACAACATATCCATCTGGTGTCCAGCTGATGACATCCCATTTTATTGTGATGTTCCCATTCGGATCAAGTGCATCATACGCATCTGGAAGAAACGCAGAAACAAAAATGTAAGAGAATGACAAATAATACGCACAAATATAGTAAAAATACAAGTTACTACATGATATGCATCTAACCACAAAAAAGAGACATAATCATTTTCTAGAAAAAGGGAAAGCCAATTTCTTGATGTTCAAAATTATAGGTCAACTCCCTGATCTCTCCGAAAATAGCCAGCTTTCAGCATATATTACTTGTTTTTGGTACAAGGGAAGTCATTTTCCTTTAGAATATATTTTGCTGAAATATGCTTTTTGGTGTTTGATTAGTGAGTCGAAAATATTTTTTGGACAATATATTATTTGTATGTTAAAGATTAATAATAATGTTCACAAGTTGGAGAATGTTCTCATACAATTTGAGTAATAATAATAATGATGTGACAGTATTAGTTGGAGCAAGTAATATGAGGTTAAAAGTTCAGATAGTCATAAGGAAAATGACTTTCTTCCACAAGTAAGTGAGTCATTTTCTTCCTTTTGATGATTTTTCTTCAAAAACATTTCTTGGTAAACCAAACACCAGAAAATTACTTCCTGCGTGGCAAACATTTTCTTGAAAAATGAATTCCTTCGTACAAAAAGCACATTTTTCTAAGTTTGAATATAATTAAGTAGTATATCAAGAACTAAGTAAAACGGTGATTAGAAAATTACAAAGTGGATTCGGAATTTGGGAGTTTGTGTGCAAACCTGTGGAGAAAAAGCAAAAAGATGACAGCAAGAACACGAATAGTAGAGCAGCGGCATTGAACTTTGAAAGAGATATAAAGAACTTCATTCCTTGCAGATTTGTAGCTGCAGAATTCTTGTGCTTTACTGAGTCAAACTCTGCTCAAAATAGGCTAATTGAAGCGGGAGAGAAATTAAAGAGGGAGAAAGTTGACAATGGTGGTCACTGGCAAGTTGGATTAATTCCATAATCACATGCCATGTTACTCATTCGAACCAACTTGGAGGTTAAGTAGTGGTGTTTGACTTTTAAATTGTGTATGGTAACAGTGTATAGACTTTTCTCACCATTAGTTGACCTGCAACAACACGTACTCTTTCACTTAGATACATTGTGAATTTTACACTATTCGCGTGAATTAACAAATTACAGCTGGTTATTAATTATCATTTATTCTGGGTTACTAATCAATGTTTGTTGATTAGAATTACCCAATCAATGATTATTAAGTAGAGTTACTTGTAATATATGTTTTCTTTTTGAATGTAAGTTTGTTTCGAACATGAAATTAAGGAACTTGTATACGGTCAAAATCATATGCCCCGATTTATACAAAGGGCGAGGTCGAGTTCGAGCCCGATGGACCAAACTCGAGCTCGAAGACAGAACGTAATGCCCGGAGATAGGAGTACGAGGAAGACCGAAGTCGAGTATGCTCGACCCCGAAATAGTACCGTTATATATTCGTAACAGAATGAGCTAGATTCATGCCACGTCCCCAAGATCATGGCGCAAATCCCGGAATAGGATTGTACGATTCCGTATTAGGCGGTTAGACAGTTGTATCAAAAATATTCCTTACTATAAATAGAAATATACCTTATTTAGGGTTCTCCTATTATATAAAGGGGACTCCAATAATTCGTAACATCATCTAATCATTGAGAAAAGAATATACTCTCTACTTTTTGCTTACTGTTCATCAGAATTGTCCTTTAGCTCTACTGCTCTTACTTTACTTTTCTTGCTTAATCGTTCTTATTGTCCTAAACCTACCTCGAGGTCACCGCTGCTGAGTTACATTGGTTTGATTCACTTATTTCTTTAATTTCTACTTCATATTTCTTGGTTATTAATTGGTATTGAACTAAATCACATATCTTTAAAACCACAAATCAAATTTAATTGTTACTCGTATTTTCGAGGTAAACAGAACTAATGAAAAAGGATTTGCATTAGACGAAGGCGGAACATTGTACAGGAGAACATCGATGGGCCTTTGGCGGTATGTTTATGGCCGAGGGACACCGATTATGTTCTACGAGAGGTCCACGAAGGTACTTGTGGAAATTACTCCGGCGCCGAGTCTTTGGTTCGCAAAATTATCAGAGCAGGTTATTATTGGGATAGCATGGAAAAAGATACTAAGGAATTCGTCAGAAAATGCGATAAATGCCAACGATTTGCACCAATGATCCATCAGCCCGGAGAACAACTCCATTCAGTCCTATCCCCCTAGCCTTCATGAAATGGGGAATGGACATAGTCGATCCTCTACCAACGGCCCCAGGTAAAGCTAAATTTATTTTGTTTATGGCTGATTATTTTTCTAAGTGGGTGGAAGCATAGGCCTTCGAGAAGGTCACAGAAAAAGAAGTTATTGACTTCATCTAGGACCACATCATATGCCGGTTTGGGATTGTAACACTCCTCAAATTTATAAAAGTTTCAAGACACGCTAAATATAGAAATTAATTTTTTTGTAAAAAAAAAACTTAAATTATACTTCTATTACGGATTTAAACCCGTGTGATTAATTTTGAGTTACTTCTCTATCTATAAATAATTGGATATACAATTAGGGAAATATTAATAACTTTAGTATTATTAATTATTAAAAGTAGGTATAATTAAATACTAGCTAAGTCAAAAAAAAAAAAGAGAAACAAAACAAAAACAAACAAAACAAAAAAAAAAGAGAACTAAAAGGAAAAGGGCACATGAGCCTTAAGACCATAAAGGACTCTTGGCAGACAAAGGCGTGAAAGCCATTGAAAGATAGGAGTCGACTTTCTGTTCAAGAAACAGAAGCCGTTTCAGCGAGATACTCACGCGGGCAACGGAAAATTTTAGGGTTCTTCATAACTCACTTATTCTTGAACTCAGGTATATAAAATTCCCTATTCTCAATTACCCTACAGTAGTAATAGGTAAGAATTGAATAGTTAATTCAATTCTTTCTCTGTATCAATAGTAAATCCCATATTTAGGTGTGAAACTTTGAAATTAATTAAAATGCACTGGTTGTTGTAGAATCAATTGTTTGACGAGTATAAATTGGACTGGGGTCTACGTATTGGCTCGAGGAGTATTGAGGTGAGTTGATATAACCCTTTACTAAAGTGGTTTAACTCACAAAAGCACGCACACAAGGTGTTTGATGAATTGCATAAAAGAGTTAATATATACTTAATTAGAGTAGTAAGTGCCTATTAGCTTAGAATTATTGTCTAGCTAAAGTTTAGATGATTATTTGGATATATGTGCATAAATTTCAGATTTTTATGTTATTCTGATGTCACACCCCAACCTTGGGATGTGNGGAAGAAGTGGAGTGCGAAACCCAACGTTGATCCTGGGGGTCCTACTGAGGAGGCACGCCGCTCTGTCTTTCCGAACCTGTGGGAATGAACACAGCGCATAAAAATGCGTCAGTACGAATATGTACTGAATATGTAGGGCGACAAGTGTAACATGAAAAATGTAATTAATAAGAGAAGAGATATAGAGACAATTTGAATTCTGAAACTAGCCTCGGTAGGAAACTAAAATTCAACATGGATATAAATGTATGCTCGTGAAATCGTCGTTCATTATTGCTACTTATAATATATCACATTGTATAATAATAAATCCCTCTGTGGGGCTATAATATCCATAACATACCCGGCCATAATAAAGGCTCGGTAGAATCGTACCCGGCCACGTGAAGCTCGGTAATCCCAACTGATCAGTGGTTACACAATATGTGTCATACCCGGCCGTCTATAATGCGGCTCGGTAATGAAAGTAAATACATACATATACTAAATCATAAATTATATAGGTGCAATGCGAAACCAACCTTAAAAGACGTATTCTAAGAAGAGTCGAAGTGGCCTATCATCATTATTCCCCGACTATCATGGTTGTGGCTAAAAATATTTAATTTTCAACTACGAGCCAACAAGTACTAAGAACATGAGAGTTGTGTATTATGAGTACCTTTGAAGTAAATGTTACTTATTCATGATTTATATGAACGTCGAAAGGAGAACGAGTAAAAAGGCTCTAGTTCTTTTTAAGCAAGGAACAAGGAAATCCGAGAATTCATAGATATCCTCTACAGTAAGCAATCTATGAGAAAGGATCAGGTCTAAGCATCTTTATAAGTTGAAGGTGAAATAACTTGAATCTGACGAGACAATTCGATAAACGTTTATTCGAATTCTAGTCATGCCGAAAAGTATAGCGAAAGCCCTACATACCTTGTCGATGGAGTTATATACTATTTCCGAGACCTTGAAAGACTTAGGAATGATTTACTACATGATACGAACCATTCAAAATCAAATTCAAGCTCATAGCTTATATAATTCTTCATTTTGACATTTACGCGAACAACTTGTGGCCATGAATTTGTAGACTCTTTTGTAGATTAATTTCCCCCCAATAATCAAGCCATGTTAAGAGAGGTTTCTTAAAAAAATCAAGAACATTTCTCTAGAGGTTTCAGCTATTTCTTAGGAATTCTTATGGTAGTTTACAAAGATCAAAGAGGAAGTTAAATCATACCTTATGTGACCAGAATTACTCAAAATTCGAAATTACTTCAAGGCGGAGTCTTGCTATGAAAAGTGAAACACCGAAGAATTCACGATTCCGAAGTTACCATGGTGTTGTCCATCTTGAGGATGACTAAATTGTTGTTATCATTGGCTAGATGGATGGGAGGAGTTTGAGAGGAAACCCCTAGGTGTTAGGTTCTGATTTGGAGAGGATAAAACGCAGGGGTTTCAGTTTTAAAGAATGACTTAAATAATTTTTTTTTAACTAAACCCGACTAAGCACACTGTTCCCGTAACAGTGTGCACCCCTGTACGAAAAGGTTAATATCTCTCTACTCCGAAGTCGTATTAACGAACGGTTTATTGTGTTGGAAACTAGACTCATAGACCTTCGATTCGGTAGGTATAACACACCATAACTCCCAGCATATTGAGATAAAAGCTTATCAACATTTTATCCAAATTCCAGTGAAATTTAAACCCGTAACTTGCGGCGATCTTTGTCGAATTTTTAATCACAACTCAAATGACTTCTAATCTTAATGTATAACTATCGCATCATTTAAATATCTCATAGAAATTATCTTCCTATCGAATTAGCCCATTTACAGCATGATTAAGCCGAATACACAAGGTGTAACATCTGATATGCCACATTCATGTTGAAAATTCATGAAGGATCAAGAACCTTTGTAAATACTTTTGAATATTTATTTCATTCTTATGACATGCCTTACATTTAAGGATACCAGTATGAGTATGTATAAAAGATTTAGACTTGAAAAGTCACAAGAAGAAGTTTTAGAAAGAAAAGATTTTTGGGAGTATCCTTTATTCTGAGAAGGGGTCATCGTCCAGGCCTAGGGTCCTGACCAAGGTGTTGACTTTCTGAAACTACTTGTGCCAAAGTAGGGAGCACACAAGCCGAGGGTCTTGTTGCTGAGAATTTACTTAGCCATGCTAAGGTATGAGACATGAGCGCTGAGAACCATGAGGCGAGTGGCACCTCGTGGATTGGGCCTATTCGATCAGGTTGGGATCGAACCCGTGTCGATCACATGGTGACTGCGACAGAATTAAGTCAGGATAGTTGGAACTCCCAAAGTATAAAGTGAAGTATATTTTTTGTTAAGAAAGAAAAAGAAAAGAATTTCTTTTAGAATATTCAAAAACTGCTATTATGCAATTATTTAGAATTATTCTTATAAGCTTTATGTTTTACATGCATTTAGAACCTTTGCTCATAATGTATATGTTATTAAAGTTTCACCCCTGTTGTTGAGACTCACTGAGTACAATAGATGGTACTGACGTTCTCTTTTGGGAACCTATGTTGGTCTGTGGTACAACGTAGGAACCGGATTTGCAGGCGAGCAGGCTACGAGTTAGGACTTCCTTCTCTTCCAGTGTTATTGGTGAGC